GGGGTGCTTCAGCTCAAAGTAACGCAGCAAACTAAACTCTCGAAAGATAAAAACGGATAGGTAGAATTTCGCCACAATCAAAGTGATTACTTGATTGATAAGAAACTTGTAAAACGAATCTGGAATCCTCACAAAAAAGCCTCATAAGGGTTCTCGAATTAGCAATGGAATCCTCACAAAACTAACTCAAGGATTTTATTCTTGAGACACAACTCAAAGACACAAAAACTCACGTAGGAGTAATTTTTATTCAACTCAACTCCTCTTTTTACAACGAAAACTAGAAGGTATTTAAAGGAAAATAAACCTAATACAATCCTAATAGAGCTAGGAAAAAATTAAGGTAAAATTATACACTAAAAAGGACACAAAAATTCGGGTTTAAACTCCCTTTCTTGAAGCACAAGCAAGTTGCCAGCAAACAGTCAAAAGGAAGCTTTCGTACTAACTTCGCGCCTTTTGTCCGAGGCCTTCCAGAGCTCCAATTCTTCATCCAATTCCTTCTCTTTCTTCACAAACATGCCTAGTTTCATGTTGAGGAAGCCTTTTGACTTAAATCCCATCCATGCTCCTTGAATTAAGCTCCAAAGTAGGCTTCACAAAACAGTTTTCTGCCTTGGCCATTTTTGGCAGTTTTCCAGTTTTGAGGTAGCAACTTTGAGGACTTGGAAAACAACCTTAATGACATCATCTGGATCCACAAAGCATACCATTGGAAAGAGGGACACTTTATCTACAAAACAAACCCTTAAACTTTAATTTCAACCAAGCCAATTGTGAGAACCATGCATGAAAGTATGTACCCTGAACACGAATTTTGACTTAGCCAAATTCTGCCCTTCTTCTTCCCAACTTCGATAGCTTCTTCATCAAGTAATTTAAACGTGTAGAGCTGGCCAATTGGGATCATATCATAATCAAGGTAAGACGTTAACAAATTCCAGGTAGATATGTCTGATCGGGCGAGTCTAGACATGTGTATATTTCAACAGGCTATACGACAAACATGGAGAGTTCAGTTTGTCCTCTCCATAAACAACATATGCTCACCATGTATTTATTCCTTGGAGAGAATAATATCAATCCACCTTGTATATGCTCCAATTATGGCTATCACAAGTGACCACTATCACGGAACTTCATATTGTAAAAACATATATGCAATCATAAGGTTATATTTCCCCGCTTCATAATAGTTGTGACTAATATATTTTATTTACCCAAAATTATTTTATATTTTGAAGATCAACATTATAACTTGAATAATTCAAGTCAACAATGATCTCTACTCTTACATCTTAAATTTGTGTAGAAGTGGTTATTTGAAACCATGGTTAAAAAAGGCACGCTTAACCTTATGTTTAGGCACGCCTAGCTGCAAGGCAATGGCAAAACGCCTTACCTAAGGGTTTCACGCCTAATTAGATACTGGAACACGTCAATGGAGTAAGGCGACATATAGGTCTCTCCTAAACATTAATAGATGGATCTAGGAAGTCAATACTAAAGGACAAAATTAACGTCAACTCCAAAATTAATTCTCTATATCAATATTTTGAATAGCTCGAGAACTTTGTGAGTTATTAAGCTATGATTCTATGATTCGTGAGCTATGTTGTTGTTATTGAGTGCTAAGTAAGTTATTAATCATTTTAACTGAGGTAAGAAAGTGTTATAGATTATTATTTCATTCATCATGCTATGCGAATAACTATTTTTCTTCCAACGCCTAGGCGAGCTAGGTGCTAGGCAAAGGCTCAACGCCCACCTAGCGCCTTTTTGAACCTTGTTTGAAACTATTACCTATGTTAAACCACTAATCAGAATAGTCTTTGTTTACTGGAAGCTAACCCGAAAAATATTTCAAATCAGGAAAATGATGATACTGAAAATGAGTATCATAACAAAAGCAACAAAAAGTATAGCTATGTTTCTTTAATCAAACCAAATGTCAACCTAGAAGATCAATCAAATAAACTTATGGTTAAGAGATCGCACATTATTGTCAAAAAACTAAATAACCGAACTTGGAAACTTTAAAGAAACAGATGTATTCGGTATAGTTTTCTGGCCTAGTTTCTAGTAACTGCAATAGCTTCAAAAAGCAATAGAGTACCTCCTCTTGAACACATCTCTAAGCATTAGTCCACCATCAATCAATAATCCTCAACACGCAACCCTTGACCCGAACCTAAAGGAGCAACCGTCATTTTAGTAATTTTCTAGAACAAAATCAAATCCACATGTGGTTTATGCTTCGTCAGGTGGTGGAAAAACAAACATTACTCTCCCTTTTCCTTTTTTACCCCTCCAAAAATTTCTCTTGATGTAGGGAATTTGAAATGGGGGAAGTACATTTCCCATCTCACTGTTATATTAGGTGTAGATGTAGATACGTAACATGCATCAAGCGACTCATTCTATGGTGTAATGACTCCGTATGGTTTTAATCAAATTGTTCTAACATAGTTTTCTATCCTCCTAACACACATTTACTGGATAATCGTGGGTAAATGCTACCTGCATCATGCTATTAATGGGTAACCTCTAATCGCACGCGGTGCAGATGTGGTTAGGATATCCACCTCTTAAGAGGGTATGGGTGATTGCCGTAAACGGTGCAGGTGACCGTAACCACACCGATTTCCATCCCTAGATGGAAGGTATAGATTACTACAGAAAACATATCGTAACCAACTAAGCAAGACATACTCATGGTTGCGATTCAACTAAGGACAAATTGAGAAAAAATACGTATGTTTCTTTAGTTTGTTTGCATAGCAGGGAAGATTCCATAAAAGAAATAAAATCCAGAGAATGAAATTGACCAGCACATAGCCTTCATTTCATGAATAAGATGCAAGGAACTGGGTTCATCACAGCCTGTGCGATTGGTGCATGTCCACTAACGCATGTCAACTTGGTGTGGAGTCGATCAAAGCAGTGATACCGCTGGATTGAGGGTGAGTTGTACAGGTTTCTTCGGCGGGAGAAGATTAGGATGGTGAGAAGGAGGTTATTCGGGTGTCGAGTCAGATGGAAAGGTTTGGAGAGACGGCGATAGTTGAGCGTTTAGTGGGCTGAGGCACTATTTAGCCTCGTTTACTTTAGTAGCGTATTTACCATCTGCATTCGACAAATCAAAAACACAAAATCTTTTCATATTTACCCCTCCGAAATTGCTGTAGGGTAACAATAGAGATGGAAGAGGTTAGCCGATTGTCGAATCCGGTAGGAAGCTCTGGAGCGACGGAGATGGTTGAGTGTTTAATGGGTCAGGCACTATTTGGCCCGTTTACATTAGTAGCGCCTTTTCCATCCGCGTTCGACAAACCATCACTCAACATTTCCATATTTATCCCTCTCTTAAAGGAACATGTGACACATATTCACTCAAAACTAATGTGTTCAAAAAGAACCACCAGAGACCAGCTCTTTTCTTCCTTCTCTCTCCTTCATCCATTTCAAACCCACAAGCCACAACACCCGACCACTCCTTCCTGCTCTCTCTTCCTTCCTTCATTTCAGGTTTAAACACCACGGCGGCCGGTCGCGGAGGAGAAGCAAAGGCACACCAGCGGCCACGGAGGAGAGCGAAGAGAGACATCCCCGGCGCAGGAGAGGCGAAAATGGAGAGGGAAGGGATGGCGATGGGAGACGCGCGGAGGCCTGGGGTCGTCGGGGATGGGAGATGGCGATGTCGAAGAGGAATCGGCGAGGAGAAATGACGCTATCTCTGACTCTGGCTCTGGCTCGCGGTGCCCGGTCGTCGAGGAGGGCGGGGAGGGGAGACGGAGTCATTGGGGAGGGTGGCTGGGGTTTGGATGGCTGAGGGCGAAGGTAATGGCAGAGCTGGGCTGGGATTTGGATGGCGGCTGGGCTGGGCTTTGGATGGCAGAGGGCTGGGATTTGAGTACAAAGAAGAAAGAATTAGGGTTGGGGTTTTATTAAAAGGATGGCTGGTCGGTTATGTTCGGTTAGTCGGGTAACCGCGGTTAATCATCCTCGGTTACTCGGCTAGCCGAAAACCAGCTTTATTCCACCGAACACCGACAGAGGCAAATAACCGTGGGTTTTCGGTTAGCTAGTGACCGACGGTTATCGGTTGAACCGGCCGGTTAACCGCTAACAACCGAACGACCACCCCCACCGAAAGCACCAAACTGGACATACCTATAGACCTGGCAATCGGGTCGGGTTGGGTAAGTTCGGGTTGGGAACTTCGGTTAGGGGTCGGTTCATGTTGAGTTGGCTTATTTCGGGTCAAATATTGACCCAACCCATTGGGTTTCGGGTCGGGTTACAGGTCATTTCGGGTTATGAGCTTTCTCAAAAACAATATCAAACATGCTTCATATTTTCTTAAAGAACACATATATTCAAATATGCATGACAATAGTTTACCTAATATATGTCAATTAACATATTGTCAAATCCTCCCACGCTAATGAAATAAAATATAAATTGCACAAATCGTCAAAAAAACAATCACAAGAGTAATACTACTACAAGAAACACATGATATTTGATTATTCTAAAACTGCAAACATGTCATTGAACTCGTGATTTTTTTAAACATCTCACCAATTTATGAGTGATTTTATCATATTTTGGGAGTAATATATTAAATGGAACGGGTCTAACGGGTCGACCCGCTAACCAACCCAACCCGACCCAAAAAATCACAGGTTATCGGATTTGGATCATTCGGATTTCGGGTTATAAAATTTCTAGTTTTTGGACGGTTTCGGATCGGGTCAACGGGTCAGGTTGTAATTTACTAGGTGGACATGCCTAGGACATTGGACTTTTTGGATTGTCGGTTACCAAAAAGCTCTTTGCTTTGAATAATTCAGCCTATCTGACTGATTAATGATTCGACACCAACCTTCCACTTTATACTCTATTATTAATGTTTAATGACAATAATACAACAGTTACCTCTGGAAACTGTGGCTTTCGTCATTTGAACTCTTCAAATAAATAGCGTACGAATATCAACAAGATTTGCCATATCCTTCTGTGGTTTTTTTACTAAGCTTAGCGAGTATAGATTGATAGACGATAAGAATTACAAAGCAATGTTTTATCAGCTTTCACTTCGAAACAAGCAAATGAACAATGTTGAGAAAATGGAATATACAAACTATAGTATAAAGCTGCAAAAGTTATCAGAAGACTTTACAGTGCTGGTGGAAACGGTTATGGTCTTATAGAGAAGATAACCATTCGATCAAAGCTTGATTAAAAAGCTCCGGGACTTCGTCGTGCGGACAATGGCCAGCCTGCAAGTTCACAAGTGTTGTGTTTGGATAGAACTCCTTGATTCTATTAGCCTTGGCAGGGCCCACCCATGGATCCAACTCGCCCCACAGCAGTAGAAGGGGACATTTGAGGTTACTCAAAGCACTGTCTAAAGTGTAGCTGCTTTGATTCAACATGAATCGCGTCATTAATCTGCAGAATTCACAGTTCGGGAGGACTCAGAGATTCTTCATTTCAGACTAGGACTGCTGAGCTCGTACCAAGCAAATAACCAATCAGCAGCAAGCAAATCATTGACCATTGGGAATTAAGTGTACCAAGTGCTGTACCTAAACATTGAGTGGGTTCTTGAGCTTATTTAGGTTTCTAAATAGGACAGAGATTAGGTGTAACACAAACCAGTACTAAAAGATACTATTCTACCTTCTTCATTAGGAGTTCAGAGATAATGGATATTAAGTTCAGGATGAAGGAAACAACAACTTATCTGCTACAAGGAATGGTACTTTATGAGCACAAAGTTCAAGACAAAGAGACAAACAAAACAGGCGGGCAAGTGCAACAATGACAAACCTGTAATAAACTTCTCCAGCATTTGGATCAGCAGTTGGCCGAGTGATAGATTCAACAAGATAGTCGTCCACATTGGATTTGTTTATATAAACCTGAGAAGTAGTGAGGCACGGCACTCAGATCAAAACGAAGCGTCAAGGTAGAAACAAGTAAGGTAATTATGAAGAATTTGAAGATGAATTATCCTTTGTCAACCGCATGAGATGAGAGCAGATGCAAAAAGTATGTTTTGAAACTAAGATTCTTCGGTTTTTGGTCTGTTAATGTTGAAATCGTAGAATCAAGGCCTTCACACTACTAAGGGGAAAATGAGTAATTTTTCAATATGTCACTACCAAGGGGAAAATGATTGATTTTTCAATATGAATACAGATCTTAAGAACTAGGCAGTTAGATAAGCTAGTTCCAAACTCAGCAAATTCTTCAGGACAAACTAAAGACCCAGCTTTTACAAGAAATATTTCTGCTATGTTAATCCTTGCCTAACCAGAAAAGGTTTTTATCTTTACTAGCTCATACCCCATTGAGCAACCTGCATATACTGCATTGATGTTGGTCAAAAGAAACCAAAGAATGCATGAGAGGTCTCTCTTAAATAAAGAGGTAACTGGCACTTACACTTTTTAAGACAGATTCAACACGAGCTGGTTGCTTTGCTTGCCAGAACAAAAAACCGAGTACTACACGTTGGAAAATATCCTTCACTGGCTTGGAAACATACTTCTGCAGAACAGACTCTTCAGTCTTATTGGCTTCTGCATTCGGATTTCCAAACTGTCCAGCTGAGTTTAGCAGTACAAGCCCAACTACTTGCTCAGGCAACCCCACTGCGGAAACCAAAGCAGTGAATCCACCAAGGCTGGAACAGTAAGATTGATGAGTTACATTATGCTAATATCTGCGCTATGAAAATATCAACTCCACATACAACATAAATTCATCTAGAAAGCAAGCAAAAGACTTCATATCATGGTGTTGGAAGTTGGTATGCTGGTCCTGCACTGATAAATTCTTGAATTGCTTCCACCTCAATTTTCATCAATGTGCAGAAAATCAAAACTCCTGGAACAAGAAAGTACCTGTTCCCGACTAAAACTGCCGGCTCCTTCACTATCTGCTTCATGAAATCCACAATTTGATCCCTCCATACCATAGCGTCATAGTCAACAAGTGCTTTGTCACTCCATCCGAAACCTAGCAAATCTATAGCATAAACCTTGTGCATTTTGGCCAACTCGGGTATGTTATATCTGCAAATGGGCAAATAGCATCGGTTTCATGGAAAGAGAGACTACTGGTAGAGAGGGAGAATGTAAAGAAAGAGCAAGAGATGTTGATTCTAAAGGAGTAGTACTTCCATAGCTTATATAAGTTAAAACAACTTCCTTTCTAGAATTAGTAACAAGACATATAAGCACATACTCGGTCTAGAATAAATAAAAAAAATATACTGCACTGCAATTTTCGCTGTAGTTTTTTTCTTTTATGCTTTGAAATCAAAATCAACCATAGTTCACATCCAAGTAAATGAAAGGCGGGTTCAGGTAAATGGCCATTACAGTACAGTAGAATACCTCCAATGGAAAGCAGAAGCACCGAATCCATGTATTAGAACAATAGGAAGACCTTCTCCTTCAACTACATAATGTATTTTATGACCTCTCCATGACCAATAATTATAGCCTTCTGGCTTGAACGGCAATCTTTCAACTCCTACAACCATTCAACACTCGTGATCCTAACAAAGCCTTCCTCTACAGCACAGAGAAACAGGAAAGCAAACTTCAAAAACCAATATACCTTGCTTAGGCTCAGTAGCCAGGGCAGATGACCCCATAGATGAAACCCCTGAAGCCACAATTCCTTTCATCGCAAACCCTCTTCTGCTAATATCGCATCTGCTTCCTTCGAGTGGGGGAAAACAAAAAAGAACATTGCAACTCGCAAAGTTATCTCCAAGTTCAGGAACGCAGAAAAGATGTGAGAGTAAAAACTAAAAAGAGCTTAAGCAAGGCTCACTGGTAGTGGTAGTACTCAGCCTCGTCGGGGAGTCTAACCGGCTAGCTCTGGAGTGGAATAGTTCCGACCGAATGGTCAGCGATATATCTCCAGAAGAAGACATCGAACCCACCATGAAAACCGCTAGTTTCCTCTTCTAATCCTTCAAACGGCTCTCAGTGAATGAAATTTCTGTCGGAAAGGGGATTTCATCACTCAATAGATAGCCGAGGATTTTCGTGGCTGGCATTTGGAGTTGTGGCAAGCCAGCAACAGCCTACGCTGCGCCACTTGTTTGTTTTGTTGATTTTCTTTTTCTTTCTAAATAACAGTAGTTGATGCAAGTATGCAACACTAGCCTAGTCGAGCACTACTTTTACTAAATCATCTTTGAGAAATCAACATCATTTTAAAGTGAAAGAAATCATTATAATATCATTAAATAATATTAAGTCACTATATAAAATATCTCTTAACAAAATCATAAATGGGCATCAGTCTCAAGCCTATTAATAAAATCACATAGTAAAAGTGGTTCACTTGAAAGCTTCTACAATCACTAATCCTTGTGACGATGACATTTCGAGCAAAAGCTTTATCTTAGCGGGTGGTCTGAATACTCCCACTTGCTTGCAGCTCATGAATGTTAGCGTTGGGGTCAGTCTTAATCTTATATTTAATTTTTTACATATAATATAAAATCAAATAACATGCATATGAGTGCAAATGTCATGCAGTGTCTTAGTACATTATTAGGAGTTCTTAAACTATAATTCTTGTTCACTATCGATATCTTGCATCATTTATCTTGTACATTATTAGGAGTTCTAAAACTAGACCTGCCAATCGGGCCGGGTTGGTAATTTCTGGTTGGGAACTTCGGCTATGGGTTGGGTCATGTTTGGTTGGCTCATTTCGGGTCAAATATTGACCCAACCCATTCAGTTTCGGGTCGGGTTACAGGTCATTTCGGGTTATGAGCGTTCTCAGAAACAATATCAAACATGCTTCATATTTTCTTACAGCCTGTTTGGATGGACAAAAAACTTAGGAATTGGAATTCCATTTCCAATTCTATTTCATTATTTCATGTTTGGAATGGTAAGAAGGTTGGGAAATGAATTCCATTTGACTAAAATATTGGAAATTAGAATTCCTATCAAAAGTGATAGGAATTGGGTTTATGGAGATGGAATTAGTGGGACCCATTCATATTTATTATTATTTTATAATTCCACTATCTTATTTCTCTCTTTCTCTCTCATCCATTTTCATTTCCCAAGATAAAAAAATCTACTAAATCATTAATGATTGTTAAAGAATACAATTCATTTCCATAGTTGTTGGAATTATGCCAAACACAAATATTGGAAATGGAATTCCATAAAAGATAGAATTGGGAATGGAAATCCATTTCCATTTCTTATGGAATTGTATCCAAACAGGCTGTTAAAGAACACAAATTTTCATATATGCATGACAATAGTTTACCTAACACATGTCAATCAACATATTCTCAAATCCTCTCACGCTAATTAAATGAAATATAAATTGCGCAAATCGTCAAAAAACAATCACAAGAGTAATACTACTACAAGAAACACAAAACATTTGATTATCCTTAAACTCCAAACATGTCATTCAAATCCTTGGGATTTTTTTTTAAACATCTCACCAATTTATGAGTGATTTTATAATATTTTGTGAGTAATATATTAAATGGAACGGGTCTAACGGGTCGACCCGCTAACCCACCCAACCCAACCCAAAAATCACGGGTTATGGAGTTCGGATCATTCGAATTTCGGGTTACAAAAATTTATAGTTTTCGGAAGGTTTCGGGTCAGATCAACGGGTCGGGTTGTAACTTGCCGGGTCTATAAAACTATAATTATTGTTCACTTTCTGATAAACTCACTCAATAACTACTTACATTAATATATCTCCTTTACCCGCTTAGTTATCATACTATCTTCTCATTTAACTCGTCATAGTATTATAACAATCAAAACCAATATTTGCTAGCTAGTAACTTAAATTATCTTTAACCTATTAACTTGCTTAAAGGATCTCTTGGAAACACTAATAAATAATCGTATTATTAGATTACAAAATTCACTAATTCAAATCAAGTCATTTTATGAACTACTAAGTTATTAATGTCCTAATCCACACATGACACATACGTATTAATTCAAATACTAATAAATTTAATTGACAATATATGATTAAATTTATTAACCTAGAAACTAAATGGTAACAGTCACAGCACATTTCGTGACCGAAACAAAAGTAGTCGCCAAAGATCAACACTGGTCGTCCCAAAAGTACTGCCATTGCTCCTAGTGGCCAGCCTTTCGGGACAGTAACAGAACTGTCACCAAAAGCTTTCATCGCTGTCGTGAATTTCCCAGAATTATCCAAACTCATATTTAATTGTACAAACGTCGACCTTAATGCGAGGGATCGGGTCTCCTTACTTTGTAGTCGTACCTAGACCTAGGCATGTCAAATGGGTCTTAGGGTATGAGTTTTACCCAAACCCAATTGAATTTGGGTCAAATCAGGTTTTGGGTTTTTCTGTTTTGGAGCAGACCCATACCCATCCAATTAAATTGAACAAAAAAAATTTCCACAGAACCCAAACGGGTCTTTCATCTTCGACCTAATGGCTAATAGAGCGACTGCTTGTCCACCATCGTATCCCGCCGCCGCCCGCCTGCATCCGATTCTCGATCAGTGACCATCAGCCCCGAAGACGACGCCGCCCTGCAATCCCGATTCTCGATCAGCGACCATCAGCCCCGACGCCGGCAGCTTCTCCTTTTCCCCACCATCGGACCCCGAGGTTGTGGAAGAAACCCACCTCTCGCTCTTCTCCAGGTTTGCCCCATCTTCTTCTCTTCTAGATCTTGCCCCCTTTCTGTTTGCTCGGTTCTTCTTTTCCCCTGTATCTCGCGCTCTAACATTTCGTATATTGGTTCTGGGTTTGCGTCGGTTCAGTCGGAGAGAGGAAGCTTCGCGGCGAGAGGAAGCTTCGCGGCACAATCTGGGTCGGTGTCGGCACAATCTGGGCTTCCTTCCTCCAGCTGAGTAGAGCCAAAGAAGCTCTCCACTGTCCCGCCGACTTCGATTCTGGGTCGGTGTAGGTCACAGTGCTACAGGTACGTCAGGGAAAAAAGTTGTGTGCTTTGGTGCTTGGTGTCTTGCTTCTGTGTCTGTAGTGTTTTTAGCTGTTTGTGTTGAGCTCTGAAGTTCTATAAGAGTTTCTACTTGAGTTCGGCCTGTTCTTCGTGGGTCGGTTAGCTTAATGGCATGTGTCTTTGTCAGAAGAGGACAAGGTAAACCTGATTGAACAGAGTAAATTCATCGCTGATCATATGTTAATTTGGTTAGATTGAAGGATAGACAGTGAATGCGTGGCCTCTGATACAGTAATTGCATTTGTGTTTTGGATTTTTTATGGAGCTGTAAGCTAGATCTAATTACATGTTGCTATGGTTTGGTAGCAGAACTATAGGATACCATGTTTTGTTAATATTATGTTGGTTATGATTGCAATGCTATTTTGTAAAAGGGTCAAAGAGAAGCTCTTAATCTACGGCACTAGCTCCTCTAAAATTCTTAGCAGTTGGAATGTATTCATTCAAGTGTCTGTCCGGTTGCAGCTTGAGATTGTTGATTTATCTGTTTGCTTGAATCTGTAGTGACATGCTTGGCTGGACACCTTGGCTTTAGAACATGTATATCGATGCCAATCAAAAGAGCTCACATTTAAAAAAAATTCATTCATGCTGCAATGTAAGATAGTATTTTGCCTCCTGATTACCAATGTTATTTTGCCTCCTGATTACAAAATTGCTTTGTTGGCATCTCATTTTCAGAATGAATCTCCAAAACAAAGTTCCACAAGTCAAGATTTGCTTTCAGACCCTGCTCTTGATTCACAATTGGATTCTCTGAGGGAAAGGCTTGCTGAGGTGAGAATTAAAGGTAGCAATTTTCAACATTCATTGGATGTTTATTTGATTTATATTCCTGTCTACCAGTTGCTTGCTACTTCCTCATAAAAAACTCATTTATAGGTGTCACGACAGTCTATTGAGCTTAATAGGGAGCTTCAAGACTTGGAACGAAAATCTACTGCAACTGATCGGTGTAACGAACTTCTTGCTGAGGTGTTTCAGTCGTATGATAAAAACTCTGCTGATAGTCTGTTACAAGGTAACTCTCTACTTTTGGTATGATATATCTTTTCAAACTGGCCGACTTGCATACATAGCTCCATTGGCTGTTTCCATACAAATTTCACATGCCAATCTTATGTGCATGCATGAGTACTTTAAAGGCTGAATTCACATACTATTTCGAGCATTTTAGATGAAGAAGAAAGTGCATCTCAGTTAATTATGTACCAACGAGTGATCTTCCATAATAATGATCTGAGAAACCATTCATCAAATGTTTAGAAATGCATCCCTTTATTTATATCTTTGATGTGTCTTGTGGTAATATTGGTATGTTATGTTATTCAGGTTAAGTGAAAATGGCTTCAGAAATAGATGAAACTATTGAATTATCTGAGGTTCCCTTACTTTGTAGTCGTACCTAGACGGTCTAGACCTTGATTCGAGTCACTAGGATCTCTGTTACTTGATTTAAACATCGTTTGAAGGCGGAAAAACAATCATGGTTTAGCCAACTACATTGCTTTGAAGCTTGAAAGAGGGTTGTAGGTCCGTCGGTATTAATTACCTACTGGTCGAGAGAGGGCAGAATTTTTTTTTTTTTTTTTACAATAAGAGAAAGAGCAGAAGAGACTAAGTGGCGGCTGGTCTAATTGTCATTCCCCGGCGTTAATGATAATGGCGACTTGATGACAAGCTTTTTGGCAGTCTTGTTGCTTTGACAGATGGATCGGAACCTGACAGGAATGAGGAAGCAAGGTTGATGATGATGGAGGGGCAACGTTGTTGTTATTGGTAACAAATTAGTGAAAGATGGCTAGATGGAAAGCATGATGGCGATTAGGGTTGGGAGTTTGGTATTAGTATTTGGTATATATCGAAAATCCTATTGAATTTGTTACTATTTGGAATTATCGAATAAAGGTTTATTTTTTAGGGACTGTGATTGAGATTCATTTTGGAGTGCTATTCGGTATTCGTGATTATGAGATTGGGATCGGTATATACCAAATCACTCCTAATTACTCTGCTACACTAAACACACAAATGACTTACAACTCTGCATTTTCTATCTCTTCAATATGTATAAGTCAATTGTCATGTAACCTCTCCATTATCACGATTTTATCCTTCTCGACAGCAAACACGCTGATTGGTCCTTTCTTACTCCTTCGTGGCAGCTACATGACATTTTGCATTAGTACACATTAATCCAAACGATCATTCCATTACTGTAATTTATGGCTTGAGGTAATATCACTTCAGTCATAGTACGAATTTACATGAAATGAAAAAATTATCAGTTTAATAGCCTTGTAGAATTTAGAGTACCAATGACGATTCCTCTCTTCTCCTCGATGGCTTCGCCAATAAAATGAAATTGACGGCTATCTCTACCAACTTGTTCTATATGATCATAGTATGGTCTTTTGTATAAACCGTTTCTACCTTATCCATTTTTGCATCGCAACTGCAAGAGCTAACTTGTTAGGGCTCTCCTCTAGGTAACCAGCTTGTATCAGCATTAGGCATGACAAACAAATTGCTTTGGTCGAGATACTATTAGGATCTTGTGCTGCTCTAAAGAAGCCAAAACCGTTTCTCGGACCTCCGTCAACCCCCAATCAATTTAACATGGGTCATTGCTCTCTTACCATCGTAATTAAAGAGGAAGCTCAGGTTAATCTCTTTCATAGCTTAACTTGACAATTTCTTAGAGGAGATGCAATCACGATTCACAATTCCAGAATAACCGCTTCAGATAATATAATCTTATGGAAACAACACTAATGAAACACCCAAATTACAATTCTTTACATGTTTCCTATGAGGGTGTGCACATGCAGATTAAGAAAAATAGAAGGATTAACGAGAGAGCTTACTTGGTTTGCGTTTTTTCATGAGCAAAACCCTGTCAATAAATTCCATGTGACGATGTGCACCAGACCGGGTCTAGACATGCGTATATTTCAACATGCTATACTACAAACACAAAGAGTTCGGTTTATCCTTCCCATGACAAATATGCTCACCATGTATCTATTCCTTGCAGAAAGAAGAATATCAAACCACCATGTATCTGCTCCAACTATTGCAATCACTTGTGCTTTTTATATTGTGGTAATTAGAACTCTACTTTTAAATCTGGAAGCAAGTGACCACTATCATGAAACATCATATTGTAAAAACTCATCTGCAATAATGAGGTTATTTCCCTCAAAAGAAACCATGTTTTATATGTTGAAGATCATCATTATAGTTTGAATAGTTCAATTCGGTAACGATCTCAGCTCATACATATAAAATCTATGTAAAAGTATTATGATTGAAGCTATTCCCTATGTTAACACTAAATAGAATCATCTTTGTTTACTGGAAATGAACCACAAAAACAATTCAAATTAGGAAAATGATGATACCGAAAAGGAGTACATTAACAAAAGCAAAAAAAAAAAAGTATAACTATGTCTCTTATATCAACTTAAAAGCAACCTAGAAAAGCAACCAAATGAATTGATAGTTAAGAGATCACACATTACTGTCAAAGAAACTAAATAACCCACTAGTCAAAGAAACCAGTGTCAAAGAAACTAAATAACCCACTAGTTATTGTTAGCTCTCCAAACAAGAACACTCAATCTTTCCATATTTACCCCTTCAAAAATTGCTCTGGCGTAAAAATATAGTTGGAGTTGGTTAGGCGGTTGTCGAGTACGGTGGGAAGGTTTGGAGAGACGGAGATGGTTGAGCCTTTAGTGGGCCGGGACATTATATAGACCCGTTTACATTAGTTGCACTTTTTCCATCCGTGTTCAACAAACCAACATCACACAATCTTTCCATATTTACCCTCTCTTAAAGACACATGTGCTCCATATTTACTCAAAACTTTTGTGTTCAAAAATATTGTTGTTTATGGTAGTTATAAAATTTAAGTCTATGTTAAGAATTCAACATCACTTCTACACATTCAATACTGTAATTCGATATGCAATAATTGCACCAATGACGTTAGGATTGCGATTTTAAAATTATTATCCTTTTAGAAAAACAGAAATAGAATTAATTATTAAAATCGTATCAAAATAATCAAAATATGTAAATAGAAGTATCAAATACCAAAAGAATATTTACGAGAGAGTTTGTGGGTTAGCTAACCATGGTGAAAAATTCCTATGATTTTTCAGATATAAGCTTCCTGTATGATTTAATTTTAAAAAAATATTATTTAGTGTAACTGTATATCTTTTCTTTGTCTTTTTTAAAGAGACCACAGTTCAAATCCAATCATTGATGTATTTTTTCTGTAAATAAGAAAATAATAAATGACTATGAAGACGAATCAATCCTTCCTACTTTCGCTATGGATTCAAGGATATTGTAATGGGAGAAGTACCTTTTCCATTTCACTATTATATTAGGTGTAACGAAAGTCAGCGCGGTGGTTGAGTGTTTAGTGGACCGGGCAGCTATTTGGGCCTGTTTACATTAGTAGCGTCTTTTCCATCCGCGTTCGGCAAACCAACAACATTCAAGCTTTTCATATTTTCCCCCTCCAAAAATTGATATGATGTAACAATAGAGATGGAGGAGGTTAGCCGGTTGTTGAATCCGATGGGAAGTTTGGAGAGAAGGCGATGCGTTTAGTGGGTCGGGATACTAATTGGGCCTGTTCATATTAGTATTGTCTTTTCCATCCGTCTTCGGCAAACGAACGTCACTCAACCTTTCCATTTTTACTCCTCTCTTAAAGACACATGTGCCCCATATTCATCCAAATCTTCTGTGTTAAAAAATATCATTGTTTTATTATAGTTATAAAAATTATGTCTATGTTAAGAATTCTACATCGCTTCTGCACATTCAATAGTGCAATTCGATATACAATATTTGAACCAATGACATTGGGGTTGCGATTTAAAATTATCCTCCTTTTATAAGATAAATGAAATGAAATTTATTATTAAATTCAAATTAGAATAAAAAAATATAAAATCAGAGAGTATCAAATACCAATAAAAAATATTTACGAGAGAGTTAGTGTGGGGTTAGGTAACCGTGATGGAAAAGTACTATGATTTTTCAAATTTAACCACCCTGTATGTTTTCATTTAAAAAGATTTAACAAATTTGGTTAGTGTAACTGGTTGTGTTTCTTATCTTTATTTTTTTTTAACTATGTTTCTTATCTTTGTTTGAAGAGACCACGGTTCAAATTCAATTATTGATGTATTTTTCATATAAATAATAAAATAATAAATAATTTTGAAGACAAATTTACCATTCCTACTTTCGCTCTAGATGAAGGAAATTTGAAATGGGTGTTCAAGATATTGTGTAGATTTAACAAAAAATACACGCAAAACTTATTTTTTACAATAAAAAAAAAACACTTTATAAATAAAAAATAGTGGTTATACAATGGGTAACTGAGTCTAACTATATAAAAGATCAAATCTAACTAGTTAAAAAAAAAGTAAAAATGAATGAAATATGAATAGATATTGTAAGAAATTGAGATAGATAGAGTCAAAGACGAGGTGGGATGGGTCAAAAGTATATGCCCATGCCCCGCCCCACGATAGTGCGGGTCGGTAATACCCGCCCCATTGTGGGTTAGGTTGGGTTATAACCAACGGAGCGGGTTCAAATTGTCATCCCTATCTAAGGTCTAAGGTTCAACCGAAATCAACTTCAATTGTCCACGGTTCACTAATATTGTCACGTGTCCCATCCCACAATCCGCCACCGCTTCAAGTCTGGGAAAGCACCTACCTCATCAGGATAAGAGTGAGTTTCCCAAGGGAAGCAGCAACTCTAGCAACGAAAAAAAGAGGGAGAAACTTACGGCAACAACGATGGTCCTGGTGATGGAAGCCAAGAAGGGAAAGGTGGAATCCAAAACTATCAACCTTGCATCCATCGTCTCAAACACAGGGAAAAACACAGACTAATAGAAATGAACCAACACCGTCGACGGGACTAGATACTATAACAACACTCCTTTTGTTGTTATTGTAACAACATTAGTCTCCAACCAATAAGAAGATAGGATTGTGATGACTTTTTATTAATTGAGTTGACCTATTATAAAATCAAAGAAGGGGTATAATTGTCATTATGAAAAAATATAAAAAATATAAATATTTTTTTATTTTCTGCCCAAAATTTTGGTCGCCGGGATCTGGCCGCCGATCACCGGAATATGCTTTTTGTCGCCGGAATATGCTATTTTCTCATCGGAATATGCCACTGTCGCCGGAATATGCTTACTGGCTTCGGAATCTAGTCATCGGGGCTGGAATATGCCTATCGGCGTTGGAATCTGCTCACTGACGGTCATCAGAGTTCAGTCAACGAACTTTGTTGACTGGTCAACGGTCAACGACCACCGGATGTTATGGTCTTCGTTGTGAGATTTATGGTTTGGTTTCTCACATTTTTGTATGCCTTTTTTGGTTTGCTTTATCGCGTTTGTGGTTTGCATTGAGAAGTTTCTGGTTTGCTTTATCGTGTTTGTGGTATGCATTGAGAAGTTTCTGGTTTGCTTTCAAAAAATTTGTGTTTTGCATTGAGGGGTTTGTGGTTTGTTTTAGGAGATTTGTGGTATGCATTAGGAGGTTTCTGGTTTGCTTTTTTGTGGTTTGATTTACTGTGTTTGTGGTTTGCATTAGGAGGTTTCTGGTGTGCTTTCGCAAATGTTGTGGTTTGCTTTGTGAGGTTTGTGGTTTGTTTTAGGAGATTTGTGGTATGCATTAGGAGATTTCTTGTTTGCTTTATTGAGTTTCTGGTTTGC